GCTGCTGTGGCACCAGCTATTAAACCAACCTATCAAACACAATGTAAGAATTTATTTCTCTTGTCAACAACAATGGTTTCTAAAGAAAGGAAGTCTCTGGCACAATGACTCATTTGAAAGTCTGATATATTTTTATTTTCAACTTACAATCTTAGCTCCTTTTGGTGTAGGATTATTAAAACTGCCAAAATTAGCCTGAAATTACAGAGTGAAAAGCAATTCAATGAACATGATGAACAGAAAAATAACTGTAAATGAACTGTTAATACATAATACATTCATAATCATAACTTCATGTTACATGATTTTAATTACTGTATACAGGGAAATTTTCGCCCCCGTTTTATTTTCGCCCTTCCCTCATTTGGGCAAATTTAAAACGGGGCGAAATGAAATAATACAATATAATTTCTTTAATAAAACTATGATTGGGCGAATTTAAAACGGGGCAAAATTGTTTGCAAGTGTGAAAGGGTGAAAATTAAACGGGGCAAAAATAACCCTGTATACAGTATTTTCTTCGGGACAAAGGAGCTATAATTTTGAATGAGATTGCCTTGGACAAGGTTTGTTCAGCAGTATCTATGATTTTTTTTTGTTTTGTTTTTTTTTGTTTAACATATTTTCCTGCTACTTCAAAAATAAGCTATTTTCAATCCAATTTAAGTGGCTGAACTGCAATATATTACAGGGCCGTCAATCTCTCTAATTTGGGTCAGATAAACAGACACTTTTCAATTGGTAAAAACACCCATAATTCCCATTTTACTTATCTAGAAATTCCCAATATCACAAACTGTACATTGTAAGTACAGTATAATTTGTCCAAACCGGCTATCGCTGGTTCCATAAAATTTGGCCGGTTTAGACAGAATCCGGAGTGCAGGAAAAATGCAGGAAAATATTGATTTTGAAAATTTTGCTGTGTATTTACAAGACATCATATACATAATATAAAATATAATTGAATGATGAAATCAATCAATATTTTGGAGTCTGGAGATTATAAAATAGTCTCGCATGACTCACTGTATTTTCTAGGTTGTTCACGAAGTTTGAAAGTCGGGTGAAATGTTACCTAAATCAAAATCTACAGGCACTCCTAATATATATATATAGGCCTACTATATATCAAGTGGTCCGGCTTTCGCTTTTCAAGGCGCTCATTCAGTGTATAAACAGTAATGCACAATTATTTATGATGTGCTAATTATTGGATTGAACTTTTGATTTTTATGTAAAAAAAAAAAAATACGTCTTCTCCCACAGTGTTATGGCGCCATTTTGAAATGCGTTCGATTTTCGATCCCGATTTATATTTTGATCTGTAAATCGCGTACATTTATTTTTGTGTTTATGTTATAATGTGGTAAAAGGAGTTAAAGATAAGTTAATGTTTTTAAATTGTCATTTAATCATATAATATTTTTCAAGTGGGCTGTGTCACCGTTGCATTTCACTGAGTTCGTCTCATGGCACTAATCATGCTAATGCAAACACGGATTATCACATCCACCACGAAAGGTGTTAATTGCTTTGAAGTAACTCAGGTGTGGCCGGATTAGAGGAAATAATTACCGTTAATTATGAGCAGTCGGGACCAGTATGGCTGTTCGGAATACAGAATAGACAGTATCCGGACTACACAGAATTTTTTCTAATGAATTTGTTAAAGAAGTGCATGGGACTTAAATTCATAGATGGAATGGTAAATAATCCGGAGTTCTCAGAGTCCGGATTAGACAAATTTTACTGTATAAAGAAGAATAAAATTGTGTTAGTTTAAAACATAAGTGAACTTAATCTGTTGTTTTTAACATAACTTTATCAGCTGTTTAGAGCAATCAATTCATGTTTTAAGAGTTTTTTTTAGTGACAGCCCTGCCCCTGTATTATAACGTCACAATGCTTTTAAAACGTCAGAATACACGCAAGAGACTTTATTAAGGCATAGACCAAATAAGGCTTTGGTTTATTAGGTTACCTTTATTTAAAAATATGCAAGGTGTAGTTGCAGGATAAATTCTTTTGCCAGCCCTGTTTGTTTTATCCACTACCTATCGTATAACCCTTTACAGTTATCACTAGAGAACAATGAACTCTTGTTTTTTTTTCTGATCACAGAATTTTCAAAACAATTATTGGTCTGTAGAGACTACGATAAAGGGTAAGGAATGGACAAAATATACAAGTTGGTTAAAGAATATGTAGCAGGTCCAGTCCAATGACTATTTCTATCTACGTAGGTATTAATAGCTAAGTAGGTATTTAAACCTACACAAAGTAGCTATATTTACCTACTTTCTGCTTTTTCTGACTTTTGTGGCCAAACGCAGGAACAGCGCAACATGTTGAGCACTGAATTTCTTGATACAGTCACACTGATGATAGATATGACAAAAATTTGACCAAGAAATCAGTGTTTTCCCTTTATTTCAAAGTAAAGGGTTAGAGATAAGTTGTAACAGGCTAGGGGCTGAGGTTTATAAACAAAATCTCGGTGGACTTAACAATAAATTTTTATTTCAAAGCGGCATTTTTGTCAATTGAAGAGGTCAATTTGACCTGCAGCCGGTTCTTAGGGAACACACTGAGAAATGATTACTTCGTATTACTTCGTATATTATAAATTTTGCAAAGAAACTAATGTAAAATTGCCGATTCAGGAAGTAATCAATTTTGGCCAAAGTTTGGTGGTATTCATCATTACTGAGACTATATAAAAAATATATGGTATTCTCCATGTTGCGCCGTTTCAGTCTTTGGGCCACAAAATGTACATAATACAAAAAATAGCTACTTTGGGTAGGTTTAAATACCCACGTAGCTATTAATACCTACGAATAGGTAGAAATAGTCTTTGGACTGTACCTGTGTAGGGAATCAGAAGTAGTTGATTGTCCAATGCTGGAAAGTGGAGAAATTCATCCCCATCAGTGCGCAGAAAATATTGTCCCTTAAATTGCTCCATATTTACAATACAGAAATGAGGATCTGTAGCATCATGATCAAAGAATAGAAAAAACTGTTATGCTACTGTTCTGCAATGTACGAGGAGACATCATTTCAGTGTTTTCACGACACCACATAAGTACTTTAAAGCAGAAATATAAACTGTCCCCTCAATGCAATTTCAATGAAATACAAAACACTAAAAACAAAAAATTCGTGTCATTTACTCATGGCTATCTAGAAGAATAAGAGATTTATTTCGAATTTCCTCTAGAGGATTTTCTCCCATACACATTTACTTGCCATTAGGGGATGGGAAAGATTTCTAAAAATCTTGAATAATTTGGTTTTCAGACATAATTATTTCTTTAAATACATCTTACAAAACCGTAACAAATAAATGTTATGTAATTTAACCGTAAAGAAAAATAAGAGGAGTTTGTCCTTGAAAATCTACACTGCCACTACAATAAATAGCAACATCTGAGGTAAATAATCGATTAAAATATGCATGTTTACAATCAATACGATATCTGCCTCTCATAAATATATTACCTGAGTTGAATTTTGCACAGTTTTAGCCTTTAGAAAGGCTTGACGTGCCACCCGGTTCGCCACTGTTGCCATTTCTGTGGCACCTGTTACCCGAAGGGCACTTTCCAGTGATGGTTACACAATTATGTTATACAACTCATATTTACTGTATTTCAAATTATGCCATCAGTTTTATCCATTTTGTATTTGATAAAATAAATAGAATGAATTTTTGAGAAAAATTAAATTAATAAAGAATTTGTCGTATATTTGTGTAATTGGTGAAAAACTCTTAATCCCTTCTACGTTTGAAATAAAGGTTTGCCTAAATTCAGACTGAATCACAATCAAAGGAGGAGGATTTTTGGGCTGGGTATTGGCCGAAATTTCGTATTGCGATATATTGCGATATTTTAAAATGTATTGCGATATGTATTGCAATATTTTCAATGCAATATAAATGGCATTTTCTTACTATATTTACTTTAATTTACATGCAACATGTACATAACTATGATAAGTATAACCAACACGAAAAAAAAATCTTGTTGATTTCATTTAAGTTATGCTCTGAAATGTTCCCACAAAGCAACTTCTGACTCACTCTTTGGCTTAATAACAAACTTTCATAAGTCCATTTTTATATTTAATGACAAAATTTCTTAAGCTAAGCATATTGCCAATATATACAGCCTACTCCGGATATATTGAAATTCAGGGGACCATGCAAATTATTTCAATATATCCGTAATTCAATATAAGCGAAATCGTGAAGCCGCCATTTTTACAAGTTCAATCCCGATCTAAAATAATGGAGAACAAACCCGAACAAATTATTTTTGTTATCGTTTATCTATAACAGTAAACATATTACATAGAATATGAGTCCTTGAAAGTTTAAATATTTTTTTTAATTTCTGTTTCATTGAAAAGACAATCTTCAACCTTATTATTATTCCCCGATCGCATTTATTTACGCTTTGGAGAAAATTCACCGGACTTAAACGTTTGTAGTACTGCTGACCGCTGCTTGTATTTCGTCGTAAGTGTACTCGGGTTAATCCCTTAGTTATTTCGAATTTAGGCATATCAATAGCCATTGACAGTACTATTTCATTTCAAAGTTATGTGTTTTTCCTAGATCTGTGAGGGTTACTATATCACGTTTAGCTATTTAGTCTGACTCTCGATATGTCCGTATTATATAACGAACTACGTGGACGCAAAGAATTTAACAGTGAAGAATTTTATTTCGTAGAACATGCAGTATAAAAACACATAAGGTAAAAACATAATTAATCACAACTGTGTATATCAACTGGTCAATCAGGCATAATTACTTTCACCAACCGCAACGACAGCCGCCAGGGAGTACTTCAGTATAACCGTTATGAAAACAACTCATTATCACCTGTGGGGACCGATCAGTGGCTTCAATATAAGCGAAATTTCAATATATCCGATTTCAATATAACCGTTATTTTAATGCAAAGAATATGAGAGGCAAAAACTGGGGATTTATTTCTATTTCAAAGTAAGCGGAATTTCAAAATAAGCGAGTTCAATATAAGTGGAGTAAGCTGTAGATATTACAAAATCGTATTGCGATACGATATTTTTTGTCATTGTATTGCAATATATTGAAATATCGATATTATTGCCCAGCCCTAGAGGATTTTTTATTTTATCTTTATTATGGATTCATTTAATAATTTTACGTGTATTATTATGACCATGACAATATCATTATGATCATTATCATCTTTACAAAAGCATTTACTTAATCAAGCCAACAATGATCATTACACTCAGTTTGCACTCTGTGTGCAAATGATTTTATTTCATATGTATAAAAATATATCCCGCTATCATCTGCATAACGTGTCTCAACATATTCGATACTTAAGACCATATGCTCCGAGAACGATAAGTTTTTTAACCAAGACAGGCTCCTGACATATAAGTTGAGGTTTCAAGGATTTTAACACTTGTTTTTTTTTTTAAATTTGAGATATTGTATTACCTGATACAATCTCTGGAATTTTCAGGGGTCCATGTTTATGCCATATTCACAAATTTGTATTGTGTACAGATTTTTTTCCAGACTTAATTATTTATCGATCACTGTTCATTATCTTCACTCCACCATTTCTTTGGTTTTGAACACACACACACACACTCACCCTCTCTCACACCCTCACACCATTTTAAATCACACTAGTTGAATGACGTTAAAGGTGTTCATGTATAGTATATCAAGTATTTATTTTAATGGAATATTCTTAAGTGAATATTTTGAAAACCTTCTCTATATAAAATAAATTGTTTTAATAGTGGAATTTTGGCAAAACATGTCCATCCCTATATTTCGTTATTTAGACCAGCCATCTTCCAAAACTCAAGCGCCTGTTTGACATTGATTATATTACAGTGCACTATCGATCTGGAAAACAGTTTCAGTCTCTTATTCATCAAAAGCTTCAAAAGTAAGCTGCTTCTTTGGATTTGGGTAGTAAAACAAAACTTTTTAATTGAGATATTGTAAGAATCTTTGCACAACGATATATAAATTTTTCAATTTGGAAAGTGCTTATACCCGGAATGTGGGGCTTGTCGTGTAAAATGTATTTGTTAAAGAAGAAAAAAATGTTAACTCCTAAAATGACACCAGGGAAGAGGCAATCTTGGACTCTTCCTTTGAATTGAACGATTTTCATTTCTGTTGTCCACTCGCCATCTCAGATCTTTTGAATCAATTAAATCATTCTTCTCAGACATGGTGTCACCAGACATGGTGACAATAGCCTTGCTATTGTCCTCATAGCCAGTAAATAGATGTATATTATTATATCTCTACTGTTAATACCCTTTATAAAATTCATACAAAAAAACTGTCTACATGTAAATTTCCTGAGAAGAGATTATTTCCCCTGTGGCGGTCAGTCGGGTTCGATCTCCGCTGGCCAAATAGCTTAGTTTGTAGAGCACCTGATCGGAGTTTCAGGTGACCGGGGTTGGAAGCCCGGTCTGGTCCGCTGCATTTTCTCCTCTCCCGTTACACCCCCATCTGAGGACTACTCCCTGAAAAATCAGAACTACTCCCAGGGACTACTCCCTCATGAATATTTATTAGTTATTCTAACTCAAAGTGGGCGGAACGTTCAAGGAATATCAAGTCTATGGTGTAATGTTATTAGCAATGTAACTATCATACTTGCCAACCTTCAGCGTGTAAAAATCTGGTCATGACCAGATTTGGAAAGTAAAAAATCTGGTCATAACGCGTAACGACATTCACGACATATTTACCATGATTAAATTATATATATATATATGTGTATAAGTATTTGTGTATTGAGAATTCTTTTATCAAAAAAGGCTTTAACTTACAATGACAAAAAATTCATATGTAATTTGATTAAATTTACATGTTAAAAAAGAACATTAGTAGGGCCAAAATAAAATTATAGTTTGTTTGGAATTGCCTCCCGCCTCATTGAAATGCCCCCTCCTGAAAAAATTTTATTGACCAAAAGTAGGAAGATTTTTTTTTATTTAATCAATATTTTTGCCCATTACATTTATCACATGTCAGACCTATGTAAAATTAGGTTTTATTGTTGATGGTAGATACTTTTTTTAAAAGTAAGAAAATGTTTACGTATTTACTGTTTTCTGAGATTTTTATAAAAAATGTTAAATTTATCTTCAATTAAAAAAAAATAATTTCCCTCCCTTCCTCCTGTGTCTGAAACCCTTCAGGCGGCAATTCCAAACAAACATTTTTTTAAGGATGGCCTAGGTTTCATATTTTAGTATTGACCTGAATTAAGTGGTTCAATTTGTTCCTGCTGGCCCTGATAACGATCTAGTTCTATCGGAATCCATTTTAAATTGATTTCAGACATCAATTTGTCAAAACCACACCCGGTTAATTGTTTACACCTGCACTGATAATTACTGTAATCCATCGGCATTGTTTACGTAGATCTAAGCTTGGGTTGTAACTGGAACTTAATTAAGTGCAACCTAATTTACAAACCAAATCCGGAAATTGGGAGATTTTCGGGTTGTTCGACAAAAATCGGGTGAAAAGCATGACCCGCCGGATCATAAAAAATAATCGGGTTACGGGTTGAAAAATTGGGTGTAACCCGACAAAATCGGGTGAGTTGGCAACTATGGTAACTATGATGTCAAAACATTTCTACATGCCAAATCATACTTGAATTCTAGCAAAATGAAGACGACAATAATTCTTCAAAATGTCAGTGAAATTAATTTTTAAAAATAATTTTATTGTTCTTGGTAAAGGATCATTGCATTAGTTAATTTAGTTACCTTACCATCTTTTGAACCACATGCTTTTGTGATTTAAATGCTTCTACAGTGTTTTTAAAAAATGTCAGAAAATCAATGTTAAATATATCGCCTATGATTGTTTCGATATAATAAAACAGCTATGGAATGGGCACTCGGGAAATGGCAAATATATATGGTTCCCCTTGACAGGAAACTATTTCCCTCAGTAGGGTCAAATCTCAACGGTTTTGTCACCTGGGAAATGGTTTTCTCCCTCAGGGAACCATAAATTTGCTTTTTCCCTTGTACTCATTCCATATGTGTATAATAATGATCACTCACTTAAAATTATATAAACATATACTAATTTTTTTTTCACAGAAGAACATCATGGGTTTGCTGACTGACCCTAAACGTCAGAAGAAGATTGTGGACGTTATCTCCAAGTACAACAACATACTGTGTGTGCTGTGCTATGTGGCTGGAGTTGCTGGGTTTCTGGCATTGGCTTACCAGCCATTCAATGGAGCAACATACTTCTCTGAAAATGCTTTGTTACCTGGTAATTTATTGATACACTGTAGAATATAAACCTGGTAATGCTACAGTTAAAATGTTATTTCCTTTATATGTATAGACTTTATTAGCTCACCTGAGCCGAAGGCTCAAGTGAGCTTTTCTGATCAAAATTTGTCCGTCGTCTGTCGTTGTTGTTGTCGTCGTCGTTGTTGTCGTAAACTTTTCACATTTTCATCTTCTTCTCAAGAACCACTGGGCCAATTTCAACCAAACTTGCTACAAAGTATTCTGGGGTAACGGGGATTCAAGTTTGTTCAAATGAAGGGCCATGCCCTTTTCCAAGGGGAGATAATCATGAATTAGAGAAAAAATAATGGCATTTTTAAAAAAATCTTCTTCTCAAGAACCACTGGGCCAGGAAAGATGAAACTCATGTGGAATCATCCTCAGGTAGTATAGATTCAAGTTTATTCAAACCATGTAGGGGGTAGGGTGGGGCCAAAATGGCCGATCAAATTTTTACATAGGAATATATAGGACAAATTTTTAAAAATCTTCTTCTCAAGAACTACTGGGCCAGGAAAGATGAAACTCGTGTGGAATCATCCCCAGAAAGTGTAGATTCAAATTTGTTTAAATCATGACCCTTGGGGGTAGGGTGGGGCCAAAATGGCCGATCAAATTTTTACATAGGAATATATAGGACAAATCTTTAAAAATCTTCTTCTCAAGAACCACTGGGCCAGGAAAGATGAAACTCATGTGGAATCATCCTCAGGTAGTGTAGATTCAAGTTTGTTCAAATCATGACCCCTGGGGGTAGGATGGGGCCAAAATGGCAGATCAAAGTATTACATAGGAATATATAGGAAAAATTTTTCTTCTCAAGAACCATCGAGACAAGAAAGATGAAACTCATGTGGATTCATCCCCAGGTTGTGTGGATTCAAATTTGTTCAAATCATGACCCCCCGGGGGTAGGGCGGGGCCAAATGACCGATAAAAGTTTTACATAGGAATATATCGGGAAACCTTTTAAAATCTTCTTTTCAAGTACTTCAAAGCCATGCTTAGTGATATTTATAGAGAATCTTCCTCAGGTAGTGTAGATTCTAGTTTGTTCAATCATGACCCCCTGGGAGGTTAAAATTCAAGCCCCCTCCCCCCAGTAAACTTTCAGTTCTGATCTGATATGTGCCTTTTCCTAGCCAATTGCTCAGGTGAGCGATGTGGCCCTGGGCCTCTTGTTACATATATCTTATAAATTTATCCAATCCAATAGTTTGTTTTATCAGATTTACTCAAAATAAATATTAATTTTATAAAATCTATAGTACAAGGTATATCCTTATCTTATATTTTTTCTAACTATTATCAACAGTAACAAATATGATGAAAATCAGGATAGGAATTCTTGAGGATATGTTTAATTCAGAATACCAGTAAAACTTGATTCTATGATTTAGGATTGGTTACAACTGAATTCTATGCAGAGATGAACTTGAATGCTCTAGCATCTGAGCTTAAAGAAGAGTTTAACAAGGACAAGAGGTAAGTCTTATTTAGGAGATGGTAAGACTCATCACACTATCTTGTATGATTTGATTTATTTCACCTTTAAGATTAATAGGAATTCAAAAAATATAGTGTATAGATAATGAGTTTCAATTAGCATTTTATTAGATTCCTTTGTGCAATTATTAAGATAAAAAGCTCTTTAATATTTAGAAATTCAAAAGAAAATAACAATTGTTTCATTATAGGAAAGTTCCCAGAGAATGGATTTACAATCACTTCAGAGAAATAGGATTAGACACTTATATACAGAATTACTCTATAAAATATCCACTGGACATTGCAAAAGGACAGGTAAACATTAGTCTCTATTTTTAACATTCGATTACTAAGCCCTGCAGTCTGTAGAACATTTCATGAATGAACAAATTTTAAAAGAATTATTTTTTTAAATTTGTCAAGACTCAAATACATGCATTAATGAAAATATATCTTTGCTATTCAAGTGTCTCTGGTTTACTTTTCCCATAAAGAAGTATGGAGAGAAGCTGGTCAGAAACATTCGAAACATTTTAGATGAACTTACAATACAGAAAGGAAGTTAATAGTATCTGAATATCGCATTGAAATTTATTTTTATACCCTCTGACTTTAGAACATTCCGGGTCAGAATGTCTATGGAATCTTGCGAGCTAAGCGAGCGGCCAGCACAGAAGCCATTGTCATGTCTACCCCAATGCGTCCCAAAGATTCCGACCTCTCCTCCACCACGGGAGGGATTGTACTGATGATGGCCATGGCTCAGTACTTCAGAAGTAAGTGTCTTATTATCCAGGTAAAATCTGGTGATTGAAATGTTGGATAGAGGATTTTTTTTTTATAAACAAAAAAATGGCAAATGCAATTTCAAATGAAGGTTAAACATTGCATATAAAAAATGTGTACATAGCAAATATTATATATTTATTTTAGGACAAACATACTGGTCCAAGGACATCATTTTCCTGGTATCTGACCATGAGCAGATAGGATTGCAGGCTTGGCTGGATGGCTATCATGACATTAAGGCTGATTGTATGTATGAAAAAAATCTTTAAAACACATTAAAAACATAGTCTCATTCTGATGTCCTATGATTTCCCATATGCTGATGTAGTATGACTAGCCTTATTCCTGTGTCTTTACAGATATAGTACCAAGTGATGTGATGGGGAGGAGTGGAGCTATCCAAGCTGCCATTAACCTGGAAATTCCAGATGGGAATATCCGCTATTTTGATGTCAAGATTGAGGGCATGAATGGTCAGCTACCAAATCTTGATCTGTTTAATCTTGTTGTAAGAATCTGCAACCAGGAAGGAGTAGATGTTACATTTCACAGAAATGTAAGTTCATGTAGGACATTATCAATACATATACAATGTAGTATTTCCAAGAAAAGCTTTTAGAAAATGAAGAGTTCAAAGGGGGATTTAAAGTACAGGGAAAATATTTGACATCAATGACATCATTTGATTACAGTCAAACCTGTTTTAAGAGGCCACTTGTGGGAGAACGACAAATTGGCCACATAAGACAGGTGGCCTCTTAATCCAGGTTTCAAACCAAGGAATAAAAAATTGCGACCACAGTTGTATATTTATTTTCAAACGTATCCAAATCCACAATTTCAACATATTTAAAAAATTAGGAAGTTTTAAGTCACATGAGATCCTTTTTTGCATTTCATTTTACATGAATTTAGGAAAGAAATCTATTATAATTGTTTTTTTCTTGTTGTTGTTGTTTTGTGTTGGTAATTTTAACAGCTAAATAGGAATAGAATTTACATCACACAAAATCATGAAATGTTCTAACAAAATACAAGTAGCATTTCCCTGATGCTGTGCAAAGCCTTTTAGTTTTTCTAGATATGTATTATATAGGGTTATAGCTCGAGACTGACCACTTGACTTGATAACCTCAGACGAAATTGTAAAATTTTATTAAGTATTGAGTTTATATCATGGGCATATTCAACAGTTGTTCATCAACTTACTTTCGTAAATAAAGAACAAAAAAAATTGTAAACAATAAATAATTTAATCATATTAATTAAATCATTAAATCCTGTCATAATTCAAATTACACTCGCAATTATCGGTAATTACTCATTATCAGCTGTTCATGTTTGGCTTCTCGAGGATACGAGGTCACGTGCCAGACGGAAATCATGTGACAAAACAGACAAAATGGCCGCTGAAAACAGGCATGTTGACCGCACGGGACCTAAAAACACTGGCCACTGGCCGCGTTAGACAGGTGGCCGCTTAAATCAGTTAAAATATAGTGAAAAAATGAACGGGCGGGATTGAAACTGGCCGCTCATGAGGAGTGGCCGCTGATTCAGGGTGGCCGTAACAGCAGGTGCGACTATATATTCAGTCAGTTTTAGAACCATACCCGAAAATTATTAAAAAGGATCTGTTATTGTGCATCATAAAAGTAATAAAACATGAATCAATTTTTAGCTCACCTCAACGAAGTTGGGGGGAGCTTATGTGATACCCTCGGCGTCGGCGTCGGCGTCGGCGTTGGTGTCGGCGTCGGCGTCGGCGTCCCGGGTTAAGGTTAAGTTTTTTGGAGCAGTTTTCTTTTTAAGTACTTCTATGTCCTATATTGATTAGACATGCATGGAAGATGTTGCTAGTGTGTTTCATTGTACCAGTCAAAGTTTCAGATGCTGCAATTTCAGCAAAGGAATGACCAGGTTAATGTTTTTGGTGCAGGTTAACATTTTTGGTGCAGTTTTTGGTGTAGGTCTCATTTCCGAGTAACTATAAGCCCTATGTTGACCAAACTTACATGGATGATACATCTTAGGATGCATACTACCAGCCTTGCTTCGGATGCTGAATCTGACCTACATTTTCCGGTTGAGTGAACAGGTTAAAGTTTTTGGTGAAGGTTTCATTTCGAAGATACGTTGAGCCCTATAATGACCAAACTTGCATGGATGGTACATCTTATGATGTAATCTACTAGACTTGCTTCGGATGCTGAATCTGACCTACATTTTCCGGTTGAGTGAACAGGTTAAAGTTTTTGGTGCAGGTTTCATTTCCAAGTTACTATGAGACATATAATGACCAAACTTGCATGGATGGTACATCTTAGGATGCATATTACAAGACCTGCTTCGGATGCTGAATCTGACCTACATTTTCCGGTTGAGTGAACAGGTTAAAATTTTGGGTGCAGGTTTCATTTCCAAGGTACAGTACTATGAACCCTATAACGACTAAATTGCATGGATGGTACATCTTAGGATGCATACTACCAGACTTGCTTCGGATGCTGAATCTGACCTACATTTTCTGACGAGTAAACAGGTTAAAGTTTATGGTGCAGGATTCATTTCCAAGTAACTTTGAGCCCTATAACGACTAAATTGCATGGATGGTACATCTAAGGGTGCATTCTACTAGGCTGGCTTCGGATGCTGAATCTGACCTACATTTTCTGGATTAGTGGAAAGGTTAATTTTTTTATACAGGTTTCATTTGCAAGTAACTTTAAGCCCTATGTTGACCAAACTTGCATGGATGATACATCTTAGGATGCACACTAATGGACTTGCTTCAGATGCTGAATTCGACATACATTTTCCAGATAATAGACCTCGTAAAAGTTATGGGTGCAAGTCTATCACCAAGAAACTATAAGGCTTATATAAACCAGTTGCACAAATGATGCATCAAGGGATGAAAACTCTCAATCTTGCTTCAGATGCTGGATTTTAATGACATTTTCATGATGAAGAATTAGTTTTTAGTTTTTATATAGGTCTATTCCAAAGTATCAAATTTGCATAAATTTTGCATTTTTGGATGTACACTTTTTGTTGGTTAATTGTGTGACTTAATTTGCCTTACTTAAAGACAACACACGTTGAGGTGAGCTCTGTAATCTCTGATTACCTATGTTTCTTTATTAATAGAATGACCCAATGGATCCACAGACTCTGGAAGGTTACATGCAGAGTGTGAAGACCATGCTAGAGATGATGTGGTCCCAGGCAGCTGGCACCCCGTCAGGCAATCATGGACTCTTCCATAAATACCACATAGAGGCTGTGACCTTGCAAGGAATCAGGAGGAAGAACAGTAACTTTGCTTATCCCCTGGAGAGAACAGGAAGGTTTGTAGTGAAATTTTCTGAAGAAAAAAATAGCATTCTGAGTTTTATAATGACTGTTAATAGATGCTTTTGAATACTAGTACATTATAAATGAGATTTATAACATGGATTAACAGAGTTCTGTAAAACATTCTTTATTGACAGATATTAAATTCTGTTTGTGGAAACCTACTTTTGAGAAATGTCTACAATAACAGTATATTCAAAATCTTGCCTAAATTTCTGAATATTTGCATGAATGTACACTTTAATACATTATATTATATAAGAAGATTATTTTCGTAATTTTCATTGGCTGAAAGAACGTCTCGTGATATTCCTCCTTTTGTGATGTTGACGCGAAAGTACATCCGCGGAAAATAATATCACATGACACAACGTTCGGTTGCACCAAAGTTACATAGAACGTAAGGCCATAATATAAGAAGCGTGTTTTAACCATTGTGACAGCTGAGTATGTTCAGTTAGGACTGTGTCAGTGCATTCAGTCTGAATGATTATATAATATAACTATTATGGACTTCAGCAAACAGTCGATATGTGGTTATATGGACTCATGGCAATATTGATATTGACCTCAGACACAGAAAATGATAGCGACCTCGCAGGCTCGATCACTATCACTTTCTGTGTCTTCGGTCAATATCAATTGCCATGAGTCCTTATAACCACATTTCGACCTACACTGAAGTCCATAATTGTATAATATACCCACTAGATATTATAATTAAATGTATTTCATGTTTCTTTCAGAATTCTGGAGGGAATATTTAGAAGTTTAAACAATCTTTTAGAAAGATTTCACCAATCATTCTTCTTCTACATTCTCCCTGGCACCAGAAACTATGTCTCTATTGGAATGTACATGCCACCATTTGGTTTGATATGTGCAGCAGGTCTAATCAAAATATCCTTACTCATGGGTTTTATTTTTGTGGTATATTCTCCATTCATGTAATTTAACTTTTGCCTAATTTAGCTTTAAGATTTACGCTTAAAATATTTTTGCAATAAACAAGAATATGAAGTACTAAGTTTTTTGACTGGAAAAAAAAATTATGATTCTTAACACATTCAAGCCATTGCTATTTGGGTGACACTAAAGAAGGACAAGGAATCTGAAGAAGAAGAAAAGAAGTCTGAGGAAGAGAAGAAGGAGGAAGAGGAAGAAGAGAGTGACCAGGCAGAGAGAGAGGCGAAGGCACTGGAGAAGGAGGTGGAGGAACTGAGGAAGACAGTGATGGATGAGGCTGTAGAGGAGGTAGGAAGTCACATGATCAAAACAGAGAGTTATGTCCCTTGTCTTTTGTGCTTCCTTGGCAATTCCTCTACTCCAGAACTCCAGAACAACTTTTAACCAAATTAGCCAAAAGGCAATTTTTAGTCTCCATATGTGATGACGAACAGTGTTTGAAGAAGTTACCTTCCCTTAAAAAAGTAGAGTACAATTCCAAATTGCATTCTCTATCCAGAGTTATCTTCCGCTACGCTCACAACACCTCTGTCAACGCTCGTTGTACAAGATTCTTGTACAAATTTTAAATGGTGAAGATTCGAAATATAAATAATAATTAATTATTGTAATTATCGATAAAGATGATAATTTATTATTTATTTTAAATCTATAACCCCTCAAAACGACTTATTTTCAAAGTTTTTAAGGAACTATTTTGTGGAGTAAAAATTAAAATCTTAATTAAAAAATCCCTATAAGGTGTTATTATTAAAATAAACAATTTTTTCCGATAAGAAATTTAATTAACAAAGATTTAATATTGATGCAACTTTTAATCATTTACAAATACAATTTTTCCAAGAATCTTGTACATTGTATTAACAAGCGTTGACAGAGGTGAATGTGGGAGCGAAGCGGGAACGATAACTCTGGATACAGAATGCTCCAAACTGGATTTCCTTGACATTAGGTTTTCTAAAGGCAATTTTAATGAAGAATTATTCATTCAAAAGGGATATAAAATTGGATTTTGTTTATCTTTGATAAACTGTAGATTTAATAGCTGAAATTAAAAGAATATTTTTTATCATTTCAGGAGGCCTCATCTGAGGGATTGATCTCTATCATGCCTGTAATATTGATCAGTGTGATGATGGGGGTGTTCTCTTACACTGGACCCGACCTTATCACCATGTCAGCCCCACCCTTCAGAATCAAAATGGAGGACAACATCAGCTTTGGACTTATGGCTCTGTACACAGCTTCTCTGATGGTCCCTAGACTTATAAGCAGGTTTGTGCATCAAGATTTCTAGCCACATGATGTGTATTTCAAAATCTTAAACTTGGAAAGTATCTTTGTTAATATACGATATTCTTGAAATAATTTCATTTTAAGCATTGTTTTTTTTTTACAGGAAGCAGCCAGGAGCCAGTAAGAAGCTGATTTTTGATTGGAGGTTACTGAAGTGTGTCACTCTGCTCTTCCAATCACTGGTTCTGTTCTCTATTTCTTTGATGAACATTTCCCTGGCCTTCTTTCTAGCTGTTGTCCTTGTTCCCATCACAGTTATGGCTCAGCCAACAAAAATCAGGTAAAATATTCATATAATCCAGCATGCTAGACGAGAGGTTCATGCGAGATAATTTTGACTTAACGCCATATATTTATATATATAAGGACTTTAAATGAGACTCATGCTTGTAGGAGTACATGTCATACTGAAAAACGTGCTTCTCTTTTTGGCTAGGTCTTATTAATTATGGAAATTACTAAAGAAAATTCTATTTTGATAAAATTTAATATTTGAATATGCATGTTCCATGTTTTAGTGTAGTTTCATAGGAAAAAATACTTTGACAAAGTACATTTCAAACGAGTATTAATTCTTTTTTTTTTTTTTGGGGATATTCCGAAAATATGAAGATTTTTACGTCTGTTCATTTTTTAATGTATTTACAGTCTACTGCGTTGGCTGCAGAAAGCTTTGCTTTTCTTAGTGTCCCCAGCTGTGTTACTATTTATAGCCTCAGTGATAACAAGTTATGGAGAAAAACACAAAGACTTCCTAGACTTACTGGGCAATTCCTGGAGTTTCATGAAGACCAACATATTTCTCACAATCATCGACAAATATTTCTTCGGCAGCTGGATGTTTGGTTTATTTTCTTTCCTTATGTTACCTAACTGGCTGATGTTCTGGTGTATAGTACACTGTAGTCTAGACTAAGAAAAAAGGTGATCTCAATTTGCTATTTTTTTTTTGAAATTGTGTGTTTGTACATTCCCACCTTGATAATGAAGATAATTAATTGTGTATGAGGAAAGTAAAGTCATGTGTAGTTGTAGTTTTTGTCCAAGACAGTTACATGTGTATAAAGATGTTTATGGACTTCTTTGAAAGTCGGATGCAAAATATTTTCTTAGTAAGAGTGCTTTGAATAGTTTTCTTATTGTAAAAATGGAAGAAGAGAGTGCTGTTTTTACATATGTTTATAATTTTTTGTGACAAAGAATATTGTCATGATTTTGTGTTATTACGTAATTGTTAGTCAGTTTGCAAGCAATATATGTATCTGATAAAAAGATTGATCATGTTTGTTTGACCATCTTTCCACATCATTAACTTCATGATTCTGATGTCATTGTCTTTTTTTTTCAAAGTAATATGTTTTACGGTGTGACCATTGGGGCGAGCGCAGTTGTACCATCAAAAACACGCTAAAAATTGATCAGCCACCTCAAATATCAAGCCGCACGAGATATCTCGACTAACTGTGACGTCACACGACGTCAAGGAGCTCGTCTGAACTTACGGAGACAGCCGAGCGTCTGTTTGAAACTATAGACTTAGTGCAATTTTGGTTGAAAAACATTGTAGAGTTATTTTTTGTTTCTTTGAAAGATTTCTACAAACTGATCTAGCCTTTTATGTTTTACGTTATTATTTTATTTATTTATTTATTTGCGCAAAGGACATTGGGTAGTGCGGGAATTCTGGGAATGTTGCACAGAAAAATTTGGCTGACGTATGTACAGATTTCAATCCGAATTTCCTCTGTTCTTACACGTTAGTCTATTGAGCTCGCTGCGCTCGCTATAATCTTGCAAGTTCACTAGTACGTAAACCAGAGATGTTATAAATAATTCTAATGTTGACCTTGGTCTTGACCTTGACATTTTTGGATTGAATACTGTAAAATCACATATTTTTGTGGGTTCTAATTTTCGTGGTTTGAGAAAGAATTAGGGGTTCATGAGAATTTTTTTTTTGTGGATGAAAAATTGTTGAGTGATCATATTTTGCATTTCATGGTGGACATAAATTCATGGATCTCTTCATACCTCAAAAACCACTGAAATTAAACCCTCACGAAAATTAATGATTTCACAGTACCTTATTCTTTGTTGAGGATGTGATATCAATTTTTCGTTCCAGGTTACTGAATCATTATACTTTGCTTTCTGGTCATATCTTCTTCAAAGATAGTTTTTTTTAAATATTCAGAAAAAATAATATGAACAGATCATTATTATACATGTGCATTTTTAAAAAATAGTTAGCCACTATGAACATTTTTACAAGTTTCAGATACCTTATAAGTAGAATTTTTAGCGAGGATTTAATTTTGGCATTATTAGCAATGGTGCTGAGATCGCTAAAATTGAATATCACTAAAAATTAATTGCGTTTTATTTGTAATAGCTTCTTTAATGTGCATTTTAAAATCACTAAAATAACATCTCGCTAAAAATAAATTACCAGTTTTTAAGGACAAATCACTAAATTTGTGTCTCGCTAAAATTTCCACTTATACGGTATATTTGATTCTTTTTTTCGATATACATGTACAAGTTCTTTGAGTTTGACTTTTGTACTTTCTTTTACATGTCTGGAGATTTGTAGTAAATATTTTGTGAGTGATATATGGTAGGCATGTTGTTTGTGAAACAGAGGTGTTTGAGTGAATTTTTTTTTTATATCTGCTAGTATCTTGTTTAGAACAAAGTTTTGTTCCTTGTGCAATAAATAATCTCTTACAAAGCTGACTGAAGAACTTCACGGAAATAAATAGTATATTCATAAAATTTCAAGTTTTTTTTTATTTTAAGCTATACAATATAAAAATTTAATAAAAGGGGACTAGAATATATTCGTAAACAGTAAATAGTAATGATCAATTTATGTTGGGATATAAATGGGGAAGACTTTCCCAATGTCAGCAAGACTGGCAATTTAACTATTGAAAAAATATTAAAGCAGAGTAAACTTAAATAAAAACATAATGTCATTTTCCTTATAAAATAAAATATTACAAAATAAAGTCAAGTACTCCCCCCCCCCCCCCCCCCCCCCCCCGAAATAAAGATTTCGATTGTGGTCATTTTTATCGTTTATATAAGACACAGAATCACACCTTCACCATCATTTTCTCACCCCTCCCCATGAAAGTCTTATTTCAAGTGTAAAGTTGGGAAAAATCTTACGTCCGTCTGTCACGCTTTGGGGTACCATCTCCTATCCGCAACTCATCTTATTCTACTGAGGGAAATTTAATGAGACTTTCACAGAATCTTTGTTACATAGTGTCACTGTGACCTATTTTGGGTGCCCCTAGCAAAATATGGACACTGCCATTCTTTCTAAAATATTGAAGGGTATTCATCTCTTATCCGCAACTCCTTTTATACCACTGAATGAAATTAAATGAGATTTTCACAGAATCTTGTTCATTATCATGAAGGTATAGATTTCAAGCATATAGTGTAAAGTTTATCTTTTTAGACGGAGGCTGTCCTACAGCCTCCGGTTATAGGGATTGTCTTGTCCATGGAATGTAAACAGGAAAGATTTCTCAAGCACCATCTATCGGTGGAATTGTTTTCATTACCTTGAGAATCGACTCTTAGTAACACCGACCGCAAGGTTAGGCATAGTCTAAAACAAAGATCGCGTCACATACAAGTATAAACAAACAGTTCTACTTTTTCTAAATAAACAGGATTTGTCTAATATTTTTAAAATGACGTGTATGTAAATACATTTCCTACGGAATATGTAACAAAGAATGTGATTTATACTGTTTATTTTTATCAGACAGAATATTAGGAGATTTTGTTCCAATAGACGATGATAAAGCGTGTTTTACAATATGCCGAGCCTTTTCCCACTGATTCTCACACCAAAACAAGAACGAGAAGAAATGAAGTGGCGGATCTAGAGGGAGTTGGGGGGTTAACATCCGCGGAGAGTGATCGAGAAACCCCACTTATCAATTGCTTCTTTTATTAAAGTAAAAACTATTTCTAGTTAAAGATATAAGTTTAACTTTAGTTTTATATTTAATTGTAAAAACTTCCACCAGAATTCGTCTGTATCAAACTAAGTCTGGAGACGCAGATGTACTTGTATTATGTATTGAAGAAAATCCTTTAATGCCGCATGCAAATTTTTTTATGTTGCACATATAAATTTCAGATATTTTAATAATAGATCAAGCATTTCAGTTTTAATGGAATTTTTTGTGCTTGATTTGTTATCTCGTTTTCACTCCTTTTCTAATTTCTTCTTGAAAGGGCCGATAAATTGGTTTGCAGCCGATTTTTGACGCTTGCATCAATAGGTTTTATGGAGTTTTTTAATCTGAAAAGGATCGATGAATGAACAAATGCATAGTATTTTTATCTGTAGGAATATTAACAGTTTTTTTTTGGATTCTTTATTTGTAATTCCGTATAATTTAAGGAAACACATGAAAATAGATTTACACTTTTTACCAGCGGTTTGAGTGTTTAAGGGAACCCTCACATTAGATAAGAGAGAAACAAACGGCAACTCTGACATTGAGATCAAAATGCATTTGTAACTTTTGACCTTTGGGTACAACCCAAATCTTGATTCATAGGATTTACATGATTTATCACATTATTTTCTAATTAATAATTAAAAATTATATCTTCTGAAATAATTAAGTTGTCTTTTTGTCATATCATTTATCCTTATTTGCAGTTGATACTTGTGTTTTACCTCTTTCACATCTCAAACTTTAATTATTTTTTATATACAAGATTACATGTATTTCTGATCATTGGTATTCATGTCAACTTTTTTTTTTTTTTTTACATTCTTTGGGTTAAATCTGTCATATGATAAAATACTACATTTCATAATTCCAGAAATATTGGTTTTCAAATTTGTCAAGATATATCTTTGTTATTGTAAGCAATACCCCAGTTCTCCAAAAACAATTTAAACTTGTGAAATAGCAAGTATTATGAATTTTATTGTTCTGTTTACTTTAAGTAAGAAAGTATATTTTATTCCACTCAAAAATTGTGTTCTGGAACGAACATTTATTGCATGTTATTACTTAAAGAAAATTCTGTGTTGCATAAAGCTAGGTCACTCCATTTTGTATCACAAAGGTTTAAGACAAACTGTACTAAATCATGTTGTTCATGTCCAATTACCTGGCTGCTTCTTTTTCCATGTTAGCTCATATCATAACATTATTACAATAAGGCCGAAAACTGTTGATTTTGGTAGCTGTTACATGTCATAATTATGTTAACAGTAGGTCTATGTGACCTATAAATAAGATATCTTGAAATATGGAAACTCCTGACTGGCTGAGGCCTATTGCTGAATCCAGAAATTCTGGAAAAGGGGGGCCAGTTTGAGGTCAGAGAAGGGGCCCACAGTCGCAATTAAAACACTCATTTATCAAATATTGTGTATTATTTTTGGACTCAAAAGGGAGGGGGCCAGGGGCCCCTTTTAATTCCGCCAGTGGGCTCATGACTAGAACATACTAGACCTACATTCATCAAACCGGGCCTGGGGGCATACAACTTATATTAGACAAGCTCACCTTTGATCTCAGTCTCGCTTTTCCACTATATATTCTTTAAGTGAGACTGTGATAAAAAGTTAGCCCGTCTAATTTTTATGTTAACCAGGCCTAGTCAATAACTGTTTCTTACGTTGAAAGGTTTAATATTGAAAGTATCTCATCTAACATCTTCGCTAGCCAAGGGTTTCCGATTCGATACCTACTTTACAACCATTGGCAGATTTGGCCGAAAATTTTAGAACTCGCGCAAACGAATTTGATTGGCTGCGAAGTCCGAGTCTTCGCAAGGTTTTTACTAATCGACGATTATCGGCTGAATTAAAGTCTGTTTATGTTTTATGCACAAAATAAAAGGAATATTTACAATGGATGAAAGTTAGGACGTGATCTATGCTTAAAAAAACAAGGGATTAATTAATTTGATTTTTTTCTTTTAATTATATATGTTTTCAAGAACTATTGAAAGGACCACATAAGTCCGTGTTCCGCATTTTAGATGCATGAATTTAAGCCAATCAAATGTCACGGCTCATTGATAATAATTGATACGGCAACAAGTAGAAAGTAGCGTCAAACTCTTGATTAAAAATCCAAGAAGAACGATACTTTCTTCCACTTTTGAGGTGTGCCCACAGCCCACAGCTGTATGAAGTTATTTGGAATATATTCCACATGGAGGTCGCCATATTGTTTCAAACGTCATATTGATCTTCATATGTTACAGCTATTTTCATC